GGATTTTGTGAGGAGTAGTTCTATATTCACCATACTCTGCTTTAATGCTTTTACAAACCTTGATTATGTTACCTGCTTGGTATTCTGCTCTTCAAACTGAAGAGTTCCAGCTTTTTTAGTGTCTCTTTGTAAGACAATTGCTCTGTCCTCTGAATCATCTGAATTGCCCCTTACTGTACTTTCTCTTAATCCCATTTCTTCAGTTGGAGACACCAGAACTGTCTGATACACCAAGTGTTTTGTGTAGGAGCAAAATGACATCCTCTGTCTTGGTTTTGTTATTTTTCTTGATGACAGCCAAAGTTGTATGGCTTTTCTGGCTGTAGTTGAGCACAGAGAGCTGTGAACTGTGACTCCCAGATCTCTTCTTATTCATAATTGATGCGACAGTGTGAGTGAGGTTTAGATTTTTTTCCCTGAGGAAGAGCATCTTATATTGACCTGGGCTGATAACATCCTTCGTGTTCCTTACCATTGGCATAAAATTTGATTACTGAAAGAAGCTTAGTATCTTCTGCTAATCTAAAGATGTTATTGTGTGATCCTTCTTTTTGGTCACTGAATTTGGATAAACCTGATTCCTTGGGAGTCTGGAAAATAGTGACTGTTAAGCCCTAAATGTGCTTTCTATCCCTCAAGCAACTTCCAATCCACAAAAAGCCCCTTTTCCCAATTCCATTCTAACTTAATTTCTTCAATAGTCTTTGGCAGGAAGCCTTGTCAAAGGCTTTCTAAAAATCCCTACCCACTGGATCTTAATTTTTCCACATGCTTTCCTCTCCAACCCCTGAACTCCCTGCAGGTAGCAAGGCAGTATTTTCCTTTACAAAAGCTCTGCTGACTTATTCCCATTGGATGTCTACAGGCTCAGCAATATTATTCTTTTGTATGGAGTCTACTGTATTACCAGGACTGAAAGTGAGTATCAGTGGTCCTTTCAGGACCTTCAAGGCTCTCAGGTCAATGCCGTCTAGTCCATATGTTTCAGTTATTTGGCTGGTCTCGTGCTTCATGTTGATGTAGGTCTTCCGAAGAACATGTTATGTAAGACATCGTCTCATTGTCTTCAGTGGTCAAGATAGATGCCAAGAACTGGATGAGTTGCTTTGCTCTAATCTTCTCATCCTTGAGTTCCTTTTTCATACCTTTGTTGAGAAATGATCCTGTCAACCTCCTAGCTCTTCTTTTAAAGTATTTAAGGAACACTTTAGTCTCCATGTGAGAGTCTATTGCAAGGTGATCTTAAAATTCTTCTTCCCCCTCTTAATTTCCTGTTTACATATGACCTGCCCTGTTTTATGGCTTTTGCCATTCTTATCTTCATTCTCCTCACTTTCAGAAGTTTCTTGATGCTCTTTCATTCATTCTCTTGACACATTTTGAGCAGCAAATCCACTTAAATACCTGAAAAAGGAGCAGAGGGGAGAGTTTTATCTTCAATCATTCACTGTTTTGGTTTGCAGTTACCAATACAGTATCTGTGGTCAGTTTACTGGTTTCTTTACTAAATTCAGAATGTTTTCTCCTTTCTTTGGGTCTTTCTAGTAGCAGCAGAAGTAAAAAGAAGTACAAATGTGGGACTTGACAAACTGAGTGAGTTAGAAGTAAGGCAACGTGATTGGTTATATTTGAAATGAAAACTGTTTGGTTTGAATTTTTAAGAATTATATATTGAATATTTTAAATTGTACTGATATAAAAGTGATGAAAATACCCATAAATCAAATATATGTTAAATTACGGCAGTGTAGAGTTGTGATAATTGAACGCATGTGTAAACTTTAATTTTATGAAATGTGGCTATGATTTTTATAATTAGATTTCTTCAGGAAAATATACCACTGTGGAGCACTGTGATTTGATTGTAATATTGTGAATCATTTTCCTTATTGCTCATGGCTAAAGTAGTAAAGATTATTAGTGATTCTATTCTATTCTATTCTATTCTATTCTATTCTATTCTATTCTATTCTATTCTATTCTATTCTATTCTATTCTATTCTATTCTATTCTATTCTATTCTATTCTATTCTATTCTATTCTATTCTATTCTATTCTATTCTAATTCTATTATAATTCTATTCAATTCTATTCCATTCCATTCCATTCCATTCCATTCCATTCCATTCCATTCCATTCCATTCCATTCCATTCTTCCTATAGTCCTGAAGGGATGTTGTATTACTGGAAGATATGTTATGCTGTGTGGGGAAAGGAGAGATTTTGGCAAGCACATGAGAGATGATTCTGTAAAAGGGAGAAGTAGCGTGGGACTGTGAGATGTGCACTTCTTGTTTCTCCTAAGTTACAGCAGGAAAGTAGTTAACATAACTGGCAGCGATTATTGCTTATGCTTCAGATTTAATGTCCAGCTGAGATTAATTAGAAGAAGGTTTCTCAGAACAGCGTGATCTTAGAGCACTGTCTTAATTGCCATTTGGAGAGGGAAAGGTACTGATTGCTTTCTTGAGGTGAAGCTACAGCCTGATCAATGCTTTTGAAAAACTTTACTTGACCTGGTTGTAGGCAATAATGTGGACCTAAATTCAACAACCTGCAAGGTCCCTTCCAATCTCAAATTACTGTAAGTGCTGAGACTTGTGTGTGGATTCAGGAAAGCATTATTAGCAGATTATCTAATGACTCAGTTGGCAGCTGGAGGATTTTTGCACATTTTAAAGGCTAAATGAAGTTAATTAAGGATATTGGCCAGTGTTTTATGCTCAATTTTGTTGCCTGCAGCCACAGAATTGTCTATTTAAGATGCTCAAATCTCAGCCCAGTATATTTATTGGCTGTAAAATGTAAGCTTCAAATGTGTACTTCGTGAAGTGCTTGCATTTCTTGGGTAAATGTTTACCAGTCTAGTCTTTTTTTTTTTTTTACATTTTGGTACAAAAATACGTTCTTTAGAGCCTGCATGGTTGTTTACTGCCAGCTTTAGGGAGTTAATTTTAAATGGCTGATTTTCAAAATAAATTCAGTTTTGAAGTTTTTGATTTGATTTTAGGGATAGTGGTGTTTTAAGGGGTGAGTAGTCATAGGGGAAGTGACTTATGTAGGCAGAAAAATGACATGAAAGAGTTAACTAATTCTTTAGCAAATAACAGCTCAGCGGTTAGGGAGCTTTATGTTCTTTGAACAGATTTTAAGATTCCTGGAAATATTTAATTGTATTTTTTGTCTCCTAGTATCCATAGTGCATTTTAGGGAGTGTGTATTTCCCTTCAGTTTGGATTTTTTTTTCAATAAGTCAGTGCCTGCTATATATGTGGAGTACTGTTTCCTTGGAACTGAGTTTCTTTGGTCGTACATTTTCCAGCCCTTGGTAAAACACACAAGTCGTCTACTCCCCGTCCTGTGTGATGAGCTTCCAAAATCTCAGAGCGTGATATGAGACAGAATTGCTACACGGCTACCAGAAACAGTTTTGAATAAGCGCTTGTGTTTGCTAACTGATTAAATCTATTTATATTGTGAAAAACTAGCTTATCTTAGGGTCTGGTAAGGAAATTGCAAGCAATCTCAAACTCTTGTGGTGAGCAGACTCCTGGGCTGAATTACTACCCCTTAGGTAGAGCAGGAGGGCAGACCGAATGCATTGGTCCAGGTCATTGTCATGTGAAGTAAAATGACATAAATCCAAACTTTCAGCTGCAGTGTTCCATCTGAGAAGACTGCTTTTTTTTTTTTTTCAAGAGCATTAATTCAGTTGTTTTGTGACAGTTGGACCATATTCTTGGCTTGTGACATTAGGGGTATCTAAATGAAGGGTGCGATGTACATACATAACAGCGATGTCTCATTTCAGGGAAATGGAGGAACATTAAAATGCTGTCTGCTTTTTCTGGGTTTTGATTACTTGCATTAAATGTTAAGGAGAATTTGACATTGACAACAGAAGATGTGTATGAACTTTAGGTCAGGTCTTGGTTAAGTCTCTAAGAGGTCTAGAATAACTTCAAATGATGTTGCTATTACATTATCTAGAAATTGTATTGTAAGATTTGCATCACATTATTACACTACAAATTGGGAATATTCTGGAAATATTAGAGACCATTTTGGAATACAATATTCCAATGTCCTTGCTTTTTCTCATACCTTTTGTTTGCTTCAAAGCTGAAGAAAATGAATTTGAAGACTCATGCAATTAGTATGCTGTGTCGTTTCATCTGATTAAGTATAGGATTTCTGTAATCTGTTGGATGAATCCCACACACGCTGACGAAAGCAGCATACTTGTTTAAAATATACCAATTTGTGTCTTACTCATTTTAAAAAAATGGGCTTTGTGTAGCAGAGTTCAGTGTGCAGCAGAAAGGTTTGGATCGGTGGATTATTTTTTGACGGAAAATATAAATGTATTCCTAGCTATTACTGTTCTCACGCTTTCCGTATAATAATTATTCCAAAAGGTAAGCCGATTTCATGCTGAAGGCTTCAGTTCAGCGATACACTTGAAGTCATGCATGACTTCCATCGTACTGGATGATTCCCCCTATTTTGCAGAATAATTCATGTGCTTGAATCAGACACACGTTTAAGTACCTTGTTGAATTAGTGCCTATGTGGAAATTGTTTCTCTTCTCAACATAATCAAATGTGGAACTGGAAATGACCTTGTGTAGATATTTTTTAGCTGTTTTTTTCTCCCTGAATTGCACCACCATCGGCTGTTGCTTGCTTTAATCTTTGTGGGTTTGCAGTTATCTAGACAATTGAATTATTTTGTGTTCATCTTCACGATAATTATATGCCTTTTGACTGCCTTTTCACTTTACCTTTAAAATTAGCATTTTGTCAATGTTGCCATCGTTTGAAAAATACCATTGCAAAGTCTGGTTGTCTAGAGAATTAGTCTCAATTTAATGTGAATAGATACAAAATTAAATTCACAGTTATGTGAGGTGCAGTGTAGATTATAAGAAACTTTCATCTATATGTGTAGATATTTAGATGCGTATTTACCTTGTCTTCCATATTTTAATATTTTTCAGACAAGTATAAAAGAAGGATTACTACTGAAGCAAACCAGTTCTTTTCAGAGGTGGAAAAAGCGTTATTTCAAACTTCGAGGTCGTACCCTTTACTACGCTAAGGATTCAAAGGTAATTCTGTGCTATTAGTATCTATTCATAACTTCAATTTTGTGTAGGTTTGTAAGTAAGGATAGTAGTATTTGTTATTTTTAGTGATTGTTTTATTAAAAACCTGCTTTATATATCATATAGTGTGTTAAATTAACTTTAAGAAAAGCTGGTGTTTTCTTGTGAATTCTTTAATGAAGTTTATCACTGTTATTTTAACCTTTTTGGCTGTTCAGACAAATAAATTCATCTTAAGGAGTTGTGGGTTTTTTTCAGGAGAGTGGCTCTCAGGCAGTCAAATCTAACTTTTTTTAAAAAAAAAAGCTACCCTGCAAACTGAATTTCATTCAGACTCTTCTAGTCTGATGCGAGCCTGTTTAGTGTGAAGAAATGGAGTCTAAGGGCAGACCTCATCACTCTCTACAACTACCTGGAAGGGCGTTGTAGAGAGGTTGGTGCTGGTCTCTTCTCACAGGTAATCAGCGATAGAACAAGAGGGAATGGCTTCAAACTGCAACAGAGTAGGTTTAGACTGGACATTAGGAAGATGTCACAGGAAGAGTAGTCAGGCACTGGAATAGGCTGCCCAGGGAGGTGGTTGAGTCACCATCTCTGGGTGCGTTTAAATGTGGTGTTGGGGGATATGGTGTAGGGGTGAGCTTTGTAGAGTAGGGTTAATGGTTGGACTCGATGATCCCAAGGGTCTTTTACAACCTGAATGATTGGATTCTATGATGTCTATATTGCCCTTAAAGAAGTGGAAGTGGTTACATGAAATCAGGATAGGATGATTTTCTGCCGAAACTGATACATAAGGGAAAGAACCGTTTCCTGTCAACTGAAATTTTTACTGGGAAAATTGGGGGTGGGCAGAAGGGAATACTCATCTTCTTTCCAAAAAGGCATTTCCTCCCTCCCCCTCAGTGCCGAGACCAAGGGTGTTTTGGCTTGTTGGGCTGGCTCAGATCGTGCTGTTCCACAGCGGTGGGCATTGCTTCCCTGTACCCTGCGGGGTTACAGCAACTCATGGGAGTAGGTGAGGTGCTACAGGTTTTCTGTGGTCTGGTCTTCTAAATAAAATTATTTCTAAGGCGTGGAGACCTCTCTTTCTAGGACTACGTGACTACAACTGCATGATGCGTGGTTGTGTGGCCATCAAGGAAAATGCTGTCTTTTCAGGGAGCCCAGCTCTGAAGTAGTTATGTAAATGAGCAGTTTATATAAAGACTTAATAAACATGGCAGGTAAGAGCTCTGAGAGTGGCAACATCATCTGTGCCAAAAAGATGTGAAAAGGAAGTTTATTGAGTATGCAGTTGTACTCTCTAATGTTGAATCCAGACATTGATTCTCCTTCCCATGGCATGGAAGAGGAAGAACACAGTATGGCTAAAAAAAGGGGGAGGCATATTTATTGGTCTTCTCTTCTGTGCTTCAAACCCCATAATGAGTCTAACAGAACCTGATTAATTGTTTGCTAGAAGCTGAGGTGTTTAACAAAGGCATATATTTCTGTTGCTGGAACATCAAACAAAGGCCCTTGATCTCCTTTTTCTCATGTGGACACCATATCATAGATTCCCCTTAATGAATTTAGAGTTACATCCCAAAACTGATTAATTGGTTTGTATTTTACTTAAGTGTGAATCTCTTTCTGCTGACACCACATTTATGCTACACAGGAGACGCTCCAAAGCAGCATTTATTTTTTTAAAAAAGCACAAAATCCACACCTTTAAAAGAGATTTAAAAGCAATATATATTTTTGGAGCCAACTTTTTATGCTCTCGTGTACCTCTTAGCAAATAGGACTGCATTCAGGGGTTAGATAGGAAATTTTATCACATCAACAGTATTTTCCAAATTTTCATCACTTTCTGTTTTCTATTTTTATTTTCCAATTGCAGTGGACACAAGGAAATGAAAAACAGACTGTAAGCATACCTGAAAGTGGACTCAGACTGTATTTAATGTTATCATGTTCTTTTCCATTCACAGTCTTTAATATTTGACGAAGTTGACCTGTCAGATGCCAGTGTAGCTGAATCGAGCACAAAAAATGTCAACAACAGCTTCACGGTATGGACCCATTATAATACTGCTCTTAAAAGCTGTGTATAGACTTGCTAAGAAAATGAAGGATTCTCTGAATCGGTTCTTTTATTCCTCTATTTGGAAATAAAATATACTTTATTTGGAAATGGTATAACGTATCAGAACAATATCACATCAGCTATTGATAATCTTGTTTCTGTGATTTTTTTTAGCAGAAATTAGAATGGTAGATAACAGTTGCTTCAAAATATGATACAAGGCATTAAAAATTCAGCAAGATTCAATTATTAGTACTTTGCTAGTGCTTACTAGTACAGCTTGGATTTATGCTGTGGTTTGAGGTGACATGCTGAGCTGATTCAAATATAGTTGAGTTATAGTTTTAATTTCTTGCGATAACAGTTTTATGTTTTCTGTCATATGAAAGTGTATTTTATTTTTTTCACTGCTGATTGTATCCCTGTATATTTCCAAGTCACGTGGAAAAGCTGTCTTCACAGTCCTACCTTGATTCTGATACTGGTATGTGAAACAAACTATTCATAAATCCTGGTTTCTCTAAGTTCACAAGTGTGTTTTACACAAAGGTCTTGCCCTCTGTTGTTCATCTGCTTTGTTGGAACTAAGTGGTCATGTCTGACTGATTCTTAATGTCTGGAAAAGTAAATTTTTAGAACAAGAACTAGCTATGAGGAAGATTGTGGGTTAAGTTGCCCTTCTGAAGGTCTTGAGTTCTCCCACTGGCTGCAGTGGCATCATTTTTCTTAACCCGCAAATCCCGTTATTCTCTATTAAAATGTTGATTTTCCATTTTCTCGAGGATTTTAATTTCACAGGTTGTCCATGTTACCAGTGTTGGTTGTTTTTCTCCGAGGCAGTCTGGTGCAAGACACCTGAAGGCTTCATCAGGTCTTCCTTGTGGTGGTACCTCCCGGGCAGCTACTGAAGAAGAGTACTTCAAAGACTTCTTCGTGTTTGCCTGGACAGTCCAGCATGTTATCTCAGTCTAAGTTTCTTTATAGACTAAGAATAAAGCTAAAAAGACTACATTGGCAGAAGGTCTCAGAGAGGGGGTGGCTGTGTGAGGTACCAGCTCTTGCCTTTTGAAAGGTTCTTTGTGCTGCATAGAAACTTGTTTTCATGTCCTGGGTGAATCAGGACATCAACATTTTCTCTAAGGAGTCTTCAAATTAATTTTGAAAAATTGTTTGGATTTATAGCTCTCCTGGACTGAAGTGTCATCTGATTTGGCTGTGAAATATGGTAATAGTCGTCATCTCACTTAATCTTCTGGCCCCTTTCTTTGTGTTTGCCTAACCCAGTCTCCCAGCAACACAGCTCAGTGAAGTAAGAGATCTCTGGCTTTGCCTGTACTGGTTTGAAGCCGGGAGGGGTGGAGTGGGTGGTTAGCTTTCCCATGATACTCCTTACAAATAAAAAGAAACGTTTCTTTTTGCTTTTTTTTTCCTTCCGTCTTAAAAAGGCAATCCAGCCTTTCTTAAAATGACTTTTTTTTCCCCTTTATGTTCTATATGCTCTGATAGCATTCTCTTTGTTAAAAAAGCAAAAATTAAATCTTTAGCTTTCTCTAGTTAATGTACTCCTCTTGCTTCTTTGTTCTGGTAGAGAATATTTTTAACAAAAACTTATGTAGAAGGAATATACACCAAATGGCCATTTTTCCCGGAAAACACACTTTTAAAAATTCACCTTAAACTAAGTTTTGTTTTTACAAATCCTTTTATCATTTCACTTAAATCCCCTGACTCCTCTCAGTCTCCCATGCTCAGCTTGTAGCAGCTACTAATTTGCTTTCTCTTACCCTCTCTAGTTAGTCTGTTTGCAGACAGAGGTGTACGTGTCAAGATTTTCCATGCTTTTTTTTTTTTTTTGGATAAAATTCAAGTCCTAAAATTAGTCATTACACACAGATTGAAGGTTGAGTTTATTTGTAATGCGCATGCTTGCAGAATATTTTATGTAACTAAATATCAGTGTTTATTCACCAGGATTACTTTGCCTTTCTTACTACAAACAAATTGAAGTTGAGGGTAGAGCTGAGGTAAATAAATATCTGCTAATTAAAATAAGAAGCTGCTAAACTTAAACCAGCTCATCTATTTCAGTTTTTTCTTTATTGCTCATGATACTACTTTTCAATGAACAACCAGATCATTTCTAGCAAGTAGTTCCTAGCGCACAAGCTTGCACCAGGCATAGGCGATAGGTTTAGGCACGTTGTAGTTCTGAGCATCCTCATCTAGAGGCTATTTAAAGAGAGGAAAAGGTATCATAAAATCATAGAACCATAGAATGCTTTGGGCTGGAAAAGACCTTTAAAGGCCATCTGGTCCAACCTCCCTGCAGTGAGCAGGACATCTTTCACTAGATCAGGTTGCTCAGAGCCCCATCCTTGAATGTGTCCAGGAATGGGGCCTCCACCACCTCTCTGGGTGACCTGTGCTGGTGTTTCACCACCCTCCTTGTAAAGAACATCTTCCTGATATCTAGTCTAACTCTACCTTGCTCTAGTTTAAAGCCATTGCCCCTTGTTCTGTCGCTACACACCCTTGTAAACAGAGTCCCTTGATGCCAGAGTCTCTACATAAGACCCTCAAGGCCAGATTCTTCCTACTTGCTTGTTAGGTACCAGTGTCCTAAGACTGCAGGAAGAGAGAGGAGAGGTTCAAGAAGCCAATTCAGCCCGTCAAAGCTACGCTTCACCCTCTCCACCAGCCATGTCAGGAGCTCACGGGGACTTTTGCCCACCCCATGCCAGCAGTTCAGTGGTGTGGTTGGGCGCTGAGTCTCCGTTAATGATGATTAACATTTTTTCCATGGCGCTTTGCTTCTGCCTTGAAGGGTGGTTCACGTTGTCTCAGCCCAGAGCAGTGTAGCTGCACAGCATGTTGCCTCTTTGGGGAGACTCCTGGCTGGGGTGAATCAGTCTCCCATCCTTATTGCATGCAAGGAGATGGCGCCTTGGCCAATTCCTCTGAGAGCTGTTAATTCATTATGTGTTTTGGTTTTCAGGGATGGAAGATGACTTGTTGGTATCTCAAGTGCATTTAGAAAAAACCTCTTAATTGTTCTCAGAACATGACTTGAGACTGAATGAGGCTGGAGAGTGCTCTCCAGCATGTAAGCATGGGCATGAGGAACATTGGTGGTGTGCTTTGGTTCTAACTGGTAGAAGGAACGGGCTTTTTAAATACTGAAATGATTCTTGAACAGGCTTTTTCAATTAATGAAATTCCTCAGGGCAATGAAAGTAATTATGAATTGTGATTTAAAAGGAGATTTTGACAGGTTAGCTTTTGGCTTAGTTTTCTACCTCTGCTTTGCTTTTGATGATGAAGAAGTGATGCACACTGATGAAAAAAATCTGTTAGATGTTAACCATGCTGTATTTCAGTTGTTGAGCCACACGGATGCATAAAAAGCCCTGGATTATTATAAGTCTATCCTAGAGTCTCTTGTAAAATGCACAGACATCATGTGACAACACCTATGTTTAATCCATCCAAACTCGTGTTGGAAACATTTAATTCAATTATGATTTTTGTGTTAAAATGTGATTGAAACTAATAACTTTAGGATCTTGGAGGCATTACTTCATATAGCTGGACACTTGATTTGAGCTAGGCCAGCTCCTAGTGCATCTCAGAATCACTCAAAGCCATAGACATTCGATTTCGTACTATACGTATGTTCAGAAAAGTGAAAATGCTGGGCAGATTGATTCTGTTGTCTAATTACATCTGAGAGTAACAGAGGAAATAATTTCACTGTGGTTTTGAAGGGTGCCCTCCAGGAATACGAGAATTAACATACTTGATGATACTCAGGGGGATTCAGCTTGCTCTGACTTCAAGGTAGGACTGGGTGATGGGTTTATAGACCCCCTAAATTTAGGTATCTAAGATAAGAATATTAGCTTTTTAACATAGATTCCTGTAATTGCTCAGTGTGGTATAGACTCCACTGGTTAGTGACGAACTTCCTTAGCTGTGATAGGAGCTTTGTCATCCAAGGCACCTGAAATGTGGACACTTGCTTTCAACTTTCTGAATCAAGTGCTGGATTGAGTATTTTTTGTTGACTATGCATCTTCTGAAAGTGGTCATCTTGAGAGGGAGGAAGCTGCAGTAGGCAGATTTGCTGTCCTGGGAAACCTACTGCAATTCTTAGTAATTAGAAATTGGCTGGAAATGAGACTACATTCTAGCCAATAATGCTGAGTGCTAGGTTTCAGGCTATGCTTGCAAAAATGTCTAATATAATAAATTTTTGCTGATTTCTTGGTTTTAGTGATACTGTGGACCATATAGACTATAGAGTCTAATTATGTATACTGTGGAAAAATACTTCCTTGGAGAACTCTTTAATGTGCTGCGCTTTAAGTATTCTCACCTAGTATTATGAGGCAAAGGCAGCAGAAACCTATAAACCATCTGTTCTTTATATTTTTTTATTATGTCTGTTTGATTTGACTCTTTTCCAAATTAAATAAACTTTGTAAACATTTTTCTATAATCTCACCTATTCTTGCTGTTCCTCTGACTATTATTCTGCAGCATCATCTTGTAAGTGAAGTGACCAGTTTGTCACCCAAGGAGTAAAAATCACAGATATTTGGGACTATTTTCTTAACGCTTGTTTACTATGTTTACTTTGCTTATGGATCCCACATTTAGTCTTTCTTCTGCTACAGTAACGTATTATGAATTTTTTTATCCCCTATAATGATACTAAGATCATATTTCTGAAAATCTAGAACTGTCTGTAATTTATAAATACTACTTCTGTGGTTTTTCTCTGGTGTATATTTCATTGCTTTTATTAACAAAACTTTTGCAAGTCACTCTTCTGTCTGTTTAATACCTTACTTGACTCTTTCTGAAGTGCCTTGGTGATCAAGGAGGGGGAGCTAAGTAATCGAAATTTTGTGCTGTCTGTAAATGTTCCCATATAACTACTTTCCACTTATTCTCCAGTTTAAGAATTGCACCACACATTTTTTA